CTTACCATAAAAATAAGAAACTAAAAGGTAAGTTTCTCCAAACCACCCCACCGCCCTACTTACCCCTGCATTCTGCAAAACCGTTCCACAATTTTAGGCGATTTCAATTCTCAATGGCGAAAACCAAAATCGCTCATCCTCATCGAAAAAATCCGGCAGATGGTGGCGACGATTCACCAGTTTTAAGATCAAGTGCCCGTCTCCGTAAAATTCGTCCAGAAAATCAACCAAAACTCGTGCAAAAAAAGTTATTTTTTGAGAAAAATTCGAACCCTAATCCTAGTCGCAAGTTTTCCGGCAAGGCGAGAATGAAGAAACCTATTTCGTCTCCCGGTTCAGACGACTTCCAGTCAGACACAAAGAAACTGGAAAAGCCTCGGCAAACTCGTAAACTGGAGAAGAAAACCCGAGTTCTGAGTGAAGAAGAATCTGAGTTCGAGTGTGAAAGCCAACCCGAAGATTCCGGCAGCGAAGAAGATTTGGAAGATGAAGACTCGTCGGTTGAAATGCGGACGAAAAAGAGAAAGAAAATGACCAGAAAAGAAAGGGACGAAGCCAACAGACTGAAGAAGAGAAGAAGGGACAACAATGATGTCACCAAGCCCCCTCGAGATTTTCAGAACAAAATAACATATAAGGTAATTTATATGACTAATTGAAGTATTTTTTGTTCACTGTGTTAAACTTGTTATAAGATTTTTTTGTGTTCTCAGTGGTCCACACTCAAATGGTGTAACTTTTGATTGTCTCTGTACATGCCTTATTAGATGTTGATGTTTTTCAGCTTGTTTCATGTCTATGATCAAATGTTAATGGCCCATTCAACTTTTGTTTCGATTTTTTGGCATTAGTTGTTATGTTATCTGACGTGGTTTTGTTTTTTGATTGAATTCTGATTTTGTCATTTTATTTTAACATTATGAACATACTGTCACTGATTCAATATCATTTACTATATACTTAGTATAATGCAGGTATATGTGGGATATAGTTATCATTTTAACAATATAAATTTTTATTTATTGGTATATATCATACTGCAATTTGTGTTTGCAGTCAAGCTGAGAATTTTTTATTTGATTATGTTATTTCCCAACTATACAATTTAAAATGTCTGATGTTTGTACACGCTTCTCGTTTTTGGTTATTTTATTTGTCAAATTTGTCATGGCTTGTATCAAAAGGATGGCCCATCGTTGGATATTATTAGTCGTGGCTTGTTATCAGTATCTTAACCACTTCCTACATCTTCTCTCTCTACACGTTTGTTGCACTCTTTTTCCTTCCCCAAACTCCAGCTCTAATTCAGAGAAAACCCTCAACTAAAATACAGGGAAAAAAACAAA